TATGTGTCTGTAGCTGTGAGCTGGGAGATGTTTTCTCCAAACTGGGCAGCGGTCGGAGAAAAGCAGTAGCTGGCACTGACCGGAGAAGCGGTGGCAGAGAGCCAGAAAAGATAAGACGGAGCAACAGAGACACGCAGCAGTGGAGAGAGAGAGAGAGAGAGAGAGAGAGCTGAGAAGCTTGGTCGTCCTGAGAGCTGAGCCAGGACGGCGTGGGAGGTTGGCCTTGGGGGCCCTCCCTTGCTGCAAGCTACAAAGAAGCTCGCAGCCTGAGGCAGGGCACAGAGGCCCTGCAAGGAGCTTCAATCTCCTGGAGATACCAGACCACCACGAAGACCCCCTGCGTCTTCGTGATATGACGTGGTGGAACGGCCTTTGTCTGGGGTTACGAAGCCCACGGAAGACCCCTCGGTTGGTTGGCGACGGGGCCAAGGGAGCTTGGATACCTCCCTCGTGAGTGCTGGCAGAGATCCAGCAACAGTTGCATGCATGAGAGAGAGATAGGCTGCTTTCTGCTACTCTGAAGAAGCTGCTACCCTGAGAGACTGGAAGGGATCTGTCCTTCTTTCCCTCCTGGACTTTTATTTGGAGGGGAGAAGAGATCTGATCCATTGTAAATACTATATGTCATGGTAGAGATAGTTGTGATCGTGTGTATAAGGTGTTATAGTATTTATTTGTACAGTCATTGTAATATATTCCCTTTTCCCCCACTTTGAGTCTGGTTGTGTTTTGTCTGGAAAAACCCATCTCACATTGGGTTGAGATGTGGGAGGGGGAATGGAGCTAGGGAATTGGATTTTGGGGCTATCTCAAACCATGACACATACACACTTGGCGGTGATTAAATGACTGCTAATGGTGCTCCTGAGAGAGAATAACTCAGTGTTGGTGTCGATGTTATGAATGCCTCCTGAGAGACTGGTCTATCTATCAGAGCAATTCCTTAACTGTTGTTTAATTTTCCTAGCTGTGTAGATCAGTAAGCATTTTAAAAGCAGTAGGTAAGAATCTCTCTATTAGCACTTATCAAATGAAAAGACACAATAGTAAAAATATATTGTTGTAACAGAGGAAACTGCCTGGCCTGGGCAGCGAATTTCTTTCAAGTGGTTTGTAACACACCCATAAGCATTAAGAGATGAACGTGGGGATGCAATGATAGGTAACAATTCACATGATTCTCTGTAGGAAAACAGATTAGTATCATCAAGAAGAGCAATAGCCTAAAGTTCTGTGTATAACACACTTCCTTAATACATTTTTTTCCTGAGCCTGAACATTAGTATTAATGAAAAATACATTTCCCTAGAAAAGACACAGAACTCCAACAAGTAGTTTTAGCTGCAGATTACACCAGTTGGTTTCTGCTATAATGCTGGGTCCCAGGAGAAGGCAAGTCATCAGTCAGGAAGGGTTTACAATGAAGCTAGATACTGTACTATTTTCTCACTTTCAATTCATATAGACAGCTCAGTAACAAAAAGAATTAGCAATGCCAAAGTAAGTAATTTAAGAACCTTTCAGAGATCTAGTATTCATATGGATACACGTGGGGTTTGCCAGGCACATGCACACACACCTACAGTCACCAAAATGTGAATTTACAACCTTTTCTAGCGTCTAGATATTTGAAATAGCAGTGTGGCATATCACCATCCACTGTCCTGTTCTGCCTGGTGTTGCCTTCAAGGGCATTCTTATAAGAGGCACTAAAGATTACATGTATGAACTAATTACGTAGTCTAACCTCAAGTAACCACACAAACCATGAGAACCTCCTGCTGAACCTAGAGATTCCTTGGGCAAAACATTTCTCCTCTTTCTTGATAAACTGCAATCCTTGGCATGCTTTCCTAACAGGGTAGTACATGGATAAAAAAATGGAACTCCCCAGCACTGTGCATGGCTACTTTGCCCATCTACATGTGGTAATCTGAATCTGTTTAAGGATCATGAAAGTATTTTTTTAAGTTATTATAAAACCAGCCACCCATACAATGGAGCCATATGGCTCTTCCTCTTCTCCGACTGAGATTGCTGTCAGTTTCCTTATTCAAAGTGCTACATGGAAAATTACATAAATACATTTTATCGACAGCAGGACTAGGCACTTTGCTTTTTTTTTCCTAATATTAAGCCTACATAAACTTCAACATAATTGATTTTATGTTTTGTTTTCATGGAACTGTGAAAACAGAGTTCACAGAATAACAAATACCATTCAAAATGAGAAGGAAGAAAGAGTGAAGGCTAATTAAACAATTGTGTAAAATTGAGATGTGTCATTTCAACAACAGTAATTAATGACAGCTTTACTTTTGGAAGATTCTGTCTTTTACTTTGAAAAGTAAAATTTAGGTAGAAAACTCAGGTTTTTTGCCAGACCCTTGAAGAAAGGACAGGGATTTTGCATGAGAGGAATTCTCATTGTGTTTATGAAACATTTTTTGTGCCCCTAAATATTTAACCAGTAAGACAAACCTATGAAAACTAATTTAATTTTATTAATGGATTATAACAGTAAGGTTTTTCTTATTTTTCCCCTCCCCCCCCCCTTTTCTTTTTTTTCCTTCTGATTTCTTTTCTGCCTTTTAAAATTTTGGGTTTTTTTTAAATTTTCTCAAAGATTAGGTAGCTCAGCCTTTTCTCTTAAGACATTAACTATATATGTATCCTATAGGACTGAGCTTTCCTGGTAGCTGAATAGATTTCCTGGTAGCAAGAAGACATATCCATATTACATATCCAATTTTTGTTTGAAGTTAGATGTCAAGCAAGTTTCTTAAGACTCAATTCTCCAAATCCCACTTTATGCTTGCTTGGAAAGCCACTAGATACTCATATTTACTTTATTTGATGCAAATTTACTTTATTTTTCATAAGCAATGAAGCAGTCCATGGTCACTGACCTCTTTGATGAAAGACAAGCCTTTTAATTCCTGCTGGGTACTTGCTAACCTTGCAGTACTCATCAAAGTGGCATGCAGGTACACGTCATGAATACAGGTAGTCAAACTGCACAATAATGATGAAATAAACTTGGTTACTTAAAATACAAATGAATAAGAATTCCAAGGTGCACTTGCAATTCTACAAATATTATTCATATGTTTTTCACAAAAAATGTGGCTTTAATATTCACAAATAAAAATTCAAACAACAACAACAAAGGTAAGAACCTGAAGAAATCCTACTAATGGTGGCTGTGATTGGCCATACTTTGTATTTTGTGAAATTAGGAAGAACTCTTTTTTTCCTTGCAAGAAGTACAAATAACATTCTGCAACAGAGACTAGTTTCCAAGTTTTGAGATGATCCAAGGTTTGAGATGCTCTATGCCAGTATTGTGGCTGTTACAGACAATCTCCCAGATCAGAAATCAAAAGTATTTTTTTCATCCATGTTTGTGTCCTGCTTGCCTGTCACAGTCCAGGATGGCATATGGGTATGTGCAGACACAGACACCCACAGCCAGAGCAGCATTCTCAACTCCTATATTCATTTCATGTCAACAATGAAAGAGGTTCAGGCCTTACTTTTTTGATCTTGCTCAGGTGAGTAAGTAACTCGGTGACAAAATCTGGAATTACATGACAGTAGAATAATAAAAGCAAGGGCCAAATGTCCTACTGTACAAACTATAAATACAAATGCACTGTATTATGTAAATTCTAGTGTCAGGGTGATGGCCATAATACAATATGATTTGATATTGTTTTCTAAGGCCTTTTTGGCAAGAGTAAAGGTAAAGAAAAAGTAGATTTTCCCTGAATTATGTCAGTTTATGGGTTATTTAAAATTATTGATATTAAAAGTCACAGCCACTAGAAATAGCTTTTTGTCCTGTTGGAGGCACAGAATAGATCTCCATCAGCTGAAATTTACACAGCTCATTATTCAACATGGCAAGAGCTACTTTCCTTTACCCCAGGGTTAAAGAGTTGTCTGTCAAAATTGCATTCTGTTGTAAGAAGGGAAATAGGTGAATATTGACAATAGGATTCAAGGCACATTTTTTATACTGCCTAGAATTTTGGATTTCTTATGACAGGGTAGGAATGAAAGCTAACCCTGCATATTTGCATAGAGAAGAAGTAATTATTTTGATAATTCTGGAGTTGTATGAAAATTCTAATGCACAGACCTAAAATTTAATATGTAACCTAACAACAAATCTGAAAGACTTCCTTTATTCTTGCAGAGTATAATGAAATCCATTTTTTCCAGAAATTAAGAACATGAAAATAGACCATGAAAAGAACTTACTAAAACAACTGAAATTTCACGTAAGTGTATTTTACTGATTTTATTTTTTATTGTTTCGTAGCCATTTCAAAGCATTAAACATTTTTATGTGGACAATTCCAATCTTCTCTGAAACTTACTTATAATTTGCTTCCCAGTCAAATAGATATGTGGAATCCAAAAAAACCTGAGTGTACACTGAATACCTGTCACAACTGTGTGTAAAGTGAGGCAGAATTCAGAGGAAATATGACTGTTTCCCTGCCATCTTGCCAAAGGCAACACCTGGTGAACACCTCAGGCTCTGAAGAAGTGCTGGTTCAGGGACATCACTGATAGCTCCAATTTGCAGTTCCCAATCCACTACCTTTAGGAGCAGAGGCTGCAGGACCCCCCCCTCACTAGGCAGGTTGACCTGGAGCACTTAGTTCCCCGATCTCCTGCTGTGGTCCTGGAGAAGCTCCAACTTTTGGAGCCCCTGGCATGAGGCTGGGAGCTGTGGCTGGAGTGTGACTTGAGAAGAGGAAGACTGAAAGCCCTTAAACCCCAACTTAATTATGGATTGTCCTACTGGGATCTGTACAGCCTAAAACCACAGCACAAAACAGAAGAGGCAGAACTTCCAAGATCACTGCTTGTGCCCTGGGTCCTCAGCACCAACACCTACATCCTCATTCTCATTCTTTCCCAACTTTCTCAGTGCTCTCCAGCAGCTCTGTATTTAATCTCTTCTGGAAAAAAACGCTGTCCAAAAATAAACTACTCTGGAAAAGAATTTCAAATTTCATTCCCTGAGCACTATGGTTTAAGCAGTTTGCTCAGTGTTATAGCTTTAGTTTGTACAATGGAATATTCTGTATATCTTCATTCTGTATTACATATATATGCACTGCAAATATGACAGACAGAAATTCCAGGTCTGTGCTAAAACACTTAACAGTTATTAAACACTTTGTCTCTGGTGCAGTGGGGTGCTAAAACTCTCTGTGTAGAAAAATTAAATAGATTTCAATGATAAGTTTTTGTTTTATATTTCCTCAACTTTTTCTGGTATCAGATCCATATACTCTTTTAAAGGGGTAAAATAAATATCCTTTTATTTCTCTGATTCTTAAGAGTATGAAATCTTACTTGCCTCATCACATGTGCATCATGACACAGCTGCATCACACGTATAACATTGAACTGAAGGCTTGATTTCAAATCTCCTGAAGTTGGTGAGCATCAGTGAGGGTTTGTGTTGGCTTGAATTTGATCACTGCTGTCCTTTGTGGTCACTATGCCAAAAAGTCACTGTGCCAAAAAGTCACTTCATTTCCAGTCCTGGATAAAGAATGCTAGTCATGTACGTAACATTGAAAGTGAAAAAATATGTACTAGGAGGTCAACAACAAAGAGTAAGGCTTTCCATTTTTTGTTAATCCAAACATTTATGTTTCTGATTTAGGGATTAGGGTTCAGCAGATGCTAACTGTTTACATTTCAGGAAATGGTACCTCTGGTATGTATGAAGGGCTTGTCCTGAAGTGAGTCTGCTTGATCTCTATAAATATTTGGAGGTGGCATGCTACTTTAATGGAATTAATAAAAATCATGGAGATTTTTATTGGTACACAGACTACACTCCACAGAACACCAATGAACTGACTGGATGTAGCCCATTTATTAAATTGTCTTCTGTACTTTCATATTAGCATAGTATGATTTCAGAGACAAATCTTACAACCTATACAGCTATGATAAGACCCACTGATGTGAACAGGATTTTATATTTTACTTTCTTTGTCTGTCTGACACTGGAACTTCCTTACAAGTATCAATTCTTGGAGTTGTACACAATTACTCAGAGTACTGGTAGAGAAAGGAGCATCTCAGAAACCACAACAGGCAGTTATTCTTAAAGGCTGATGATTTAATGACATCTCTTACAGATTATGGTAAGTCAAGCCTTTGTGGTTTTAGTAAAAGCTTAAATGAGTTCTCATATTTATTTTTCAGGGTAATTACATATATCACACTTAACTGTCCTTTGCTCAGATCCGGATCATTCAAATCTTTTTAAGTAAATGCCTAAATGTATTACTGTCTCCTCTTGTGTTGCCCTTCATTCTCCTTTTGTCCTTGACAAAATCAGTTTTGCTGTTCCTTTTTCAGATTCTCACAGAGAGCTAGTTGTGCCAATCATTTTCCATGTGATGGAAATACCTGCCTTTTTGTTAATAGGACAGGCATATGCAGTATTCTGCTGAGGTGTGTGTACCTCTGAAGCATACACATTATATTCTCTAAGTGAATTATTTTCCATGGTATTGTAACACTTTACTCATTCTGCCAGCTGAATCCACATATACTGGGATGAGCTGAATGATTTTCTGCAGTTCACAAATATTTGTAAGTTAACAGTTTTTTACTCAAAAGTATATTTAAAGAATGCTAAACATACTGCAATATCACAGAAAATATTTCTGGGGTACAGGCTGAGTAGAAATTCTGAGAAAGAGGTCTGGACCGCAAGAGCAGCAGACATAGATAACATTTTTCTGTCTAATTCAGGATCTTTTTTTCCAGTGTTGTCACTATATGATGCATTAGATGAGTCTGCAGAAGTCTCACAGTCCTTGTACCCTCTTCTGTGGTGCTCTGCAGAGATTTAATTCTTTCTCGTTTCATAGATACAGCTGTCATAGAAAGTATTCAAAATACTTTCCACTCAACTACCAATTAAACAACCAGTCATAAAAAAAAAATCTTGCTCTCTGTACTATGTCATTGTTGTCATAACTTAAAAATATCTCTGGACCAAGGTTGATTATAAGAAGTTAAAAAGCTGGATGAGACTGATAACAAGCAATAGGAATGACTGGAAAGCCATATTAAAAGACTAATATCGCACCACCTTGGTATTCATATAAAGTTTGATGCTGAATATATTTTAATTGAAGTATGAGAATATGACTGAAAGTGAAATTTCAATTTAGGAAGTACACAAAAATATAAGTAGATAGATCTGAAAAGACAGTGAAGAAATTTTAGAGATTATGTTAAAGTGGGCAACAGAAATAACTGATATGCCAACATGCATTTTGACAAAATGTGGAAAGATGTACTTTAGAAATCTGGATTATAATATATATTCCTTGAATTTAAATTCATTGGATTCATAAATAATATCTAGAAGCCATTGTGTTCATCCCAAAAGAAGCAGCTGCTCAATGTGTAACAGATGTCCAAGAAACAGTGAACAGTTGAATGGGAAGCACAATTACAATATTAGATTGATTTATAGCCAAAAAATGTGCTTTAATCTGCATATAAAATACATGCAAAGTTATAGTGGCTAAACTGTCACTGCTCCCTACTGATGAAAATCTTACTATTAATTTAATTTTGAAACAAGCAAAACCAGAAGAGTTCAGGGGAAAACGATTTTTTTAAAAATGCAAAATGAGCTTGAACAAGTCACTAAGCCTAATGACTAGCAAGCACTGACCTGAATTGCATCTAATACATATCATAAATATGTGTTTATGTGCAATGGGAACAATTATTCCTGTGAAAACATTACTCCCTAACCCATCAATAAGAATGAACACAGCAAACCCCACTGTAATCTTCTAGAGGAAACTACTCTTCTTAACATTTCACACGAACTCTAAAACGATGTGACATTTTATAAAAAGAAAAAGTAAATTCTTCCCCTTTAAGATGAAAATGAGACATCAAATTCTTGAGACGGGGGGGGAACTTTCTCTGTTGGCACAGTTATTCTTTCCTGGGAACCTATTCCTACATTTGTCACCCACTGATATTCCAAAGTTTTCACCTTAGCTTAGGTTTGGCACTGGTTATCCAACAGGCCATCTCTTCCTGGGTCCATACCATCATTTGCAAGAGGTCCTCAGTTTATCAGTGTTAATTGCTTATTTCACCAAATCCACATGCAAAAGTGAAAGGTGAATATCTAGTGCACTCCCAACACACGTAGTATTTATCATGTGCTCCATTTCCTGAGAGATGAAGGCAGTTCACGCTGATGGTTTTAGTTTTAAACCGTTATAAAAGAGTGATTCCTACCAGTGTTATTTCTTACTTACATAAACACTAATAATACCCTGTACATGACCACTGCTTAAAGGGAAGCAAACAAGCCAAGAAGCTAGGTTCAGTTTGAAGGCTTTAACTTCATACAGGCATGAAATCTGTTACAAAATCTGTTGCCCTGGCAAGAAAACTTCCTGGGCTAACATCTAGCTTTCTGTTCATGTTTGGGCACAGGAGTTTTCAGGAGCTGCTCCAAGTCATCCTGTTAAGTCTGCATTGTCACCTGATTTTGAAGCAACTGGTATTCCCTGAGCCTTTATGGGTACTTTCTATGCAAGCACTGTTATGAAAGCACAGTATCCTTTGCCCCTTGCCTGAATTTCAGTTGGACCTGCTTGGTAGCATCAGAGACACACAGCTTTTTATTTTTCAGAGAAAAAAATATTGTCTTCTCTCACTTTGTGTTTCCAACTTTCATTTCCATCTTGAGATTCCTGCCCTTCTAACTTTCTTAGTGCATTTGACTAGTGAATAACTAAGAGAATTCAGTTGCTTGTACTCAGGAATTGCTGTCCTAACTGAAGCCTTTGAACCTGTAATTATCTTTTGAAAGTCCTTTACTGCACTATGTTAAAAATAGTCATCTTAAAATGACACATTTAGAAGTATATTAGAGGAGACATTCAGAGCCTACATCTGTGGAGATGCCTATTAAATATTACTTTACAAGGGGATGAAAGTGCATGGACTGAATCTCCAGTCTGGATTAGGATTGTAACCACAATCTATTTATACTGTGTGCTGGTTCTGTCCTATGAAGACTGGCATTATTAAGTTGCAAAAACCTATGTGTACATCTCATATCAACTCCACTGGAGCCACAATTAGCAAAGGTTATAACAGAATAAAAATAACAGAAAGGACAGGAAACTGCAGCTATGTGGGAGATAGGCATTTCAGAAGAGCATCTGAAAGACAAAATTGGGTTTACTGTTCCAGCAGTAGCAGCTCTGCTCCCTAAATGAGGCCTTGAAGAAAAAATCTATTTCTTTAACGGCTGGTCAACCGTGCATTACAGAAGACTTTGGAACTGCATGTGTTATTGCCCAATTTTAGATATTTTTCCATAGTGAAGTTCAAAAAAGACATGTTAATTCCAAACTCAGGAGATATCCTGTGCAATATATATGCATTATCAGAAAGACAGAAAGGAAGCAAGAAAGGTGGCAACACTAATTGGATTAAGACATGCTGGGAACTGAGGAAAACCATGATGAGAGAGGAAGGTCTCTTTCAGTAGACTGGAAACTAAAATGGAAAAGCTGGTAAAAATAAACATATTTTTCTGTAATCAGAAAAGGCTGCACTTCTCATATGGGACATTCAAAAAATAGGTCCTACTTTCTCAAGTAGCAGAAGGAGAAGAAGTAGAATTATTGTATTACTTGCTGGGATCAATGTAGGGGTATCATTTTCTGCAAAAGCTTGGATCATTCTGTGTACTTGGCATCCCATCCAATTTCTTAAATTCTAAGAAGGTTTACAGAGAATACATCAAAACACATGCCCTTTCTCTTTTCAGGGTGGGCTAGAAAGAAATCAAATACATTCTGTTGAGAATTCTGTGTTGAAATTTTAGCTTTGCCAGTTCAGCACAGCTATCATAGCCCTCAGAGGGTAATCTGAAAATCCACAGTGACTCCCTCTCTATGTATCTGTTTTGCTTGAATACAGTAGACTGGGACTCTCTATGGACACTGCCCATGCTTAGTCTGTCATCTCAAGAGATCCCAAGGAAAGACCTGATACTCTGCAATAGGAGGGGAAAAAAAATTCTTGCCTGCAGAAACATAAATAATAGTGATGAGGCATAAATCAAAAAGTTGCCACTTGATTTGCAGGCTGAGGTTACAGGACTGACAATTAGAAATTTATGTTTTTACTTCTAAGTGGACTCTCATCTGATTGGAAGTTATCAAGGGACAAAAATTTTGTGCTTAAGATGCCTTTTAAAATGAAATCAAATTTCAAGGAGAGCTGTGATTTGAAATGCAACATTTATTTATACCTTTCAAGGCAGCGTTAGAAGAAGATCCCTCCATATCTTCCTCAATAGCTTTTACTTTAGCACATCATCATATACTCAACTGCAAAATTACCGTGACAGCAAAAGAGAAGTGGTTCTTTTAATTTGCTTTGCTGTTTTGAACATCCAGTTACCTGCAAAATCTGGATAAAAGCCATTGGTTTATTCACTCACTAGATGGCTTTAGAAATATCTCTTTGCTTTTATAGCAGTGATGACTGCCCAGAGTTGTGAAATTTCGTGATTACTTCAGAATGTTAAGAATAAACATTGGCACCACTGATGTGCCTTGTATATGCTAACAATAGGTACAGAACTTACTGGATTGCATAATATTGACTTTTAACCTGGAGCAGACTTAGAATCTTATTCCATGGAAATAACAGAATGAATGGAAAGCAGTTAATAAGATTAAACCCACTGTGAAGCATAAAGCCATAGTTAATGACTTGTGATCTCACTCCCCCTGTCCCCATCGATGCAGTTTCTTTGGTCTATGTAATACACATATATTCTTCTCATCTAGCAGTTCATGACCTTGTTTTAGTCTTTTCCTTAAAAACTCAGATTATGGTAACATTACTTTTTTCTACAGCAATGAAATGTATTATACATGTGTGAATCTAAAGAACAATATTAATTCTGAAATGGTATCTCTGTTTACTAAAAATGTTTATGTAAATCCAGTTTAATTTTCACATCTTTGTTTCAAGCACCCCAAAAGAAGACTTATGGTGAAACCAGGGTATTATTTTAGCATGCTTACTCCTTCATCTGATAGTCTCTGATCTCTAACATCTGTATGGTGGTCCAATATCACAGAGCAAAATGTGTACTGTTCTTTCCTCAGCTGAGCCCCTTGCAGGGTGTCTAATAGATGGAGACATTAGTTCATTATACAAATATGAATCTCTGGGACTTAACTCCTATTTCAAGTGACAACAGAAACTGTTTAAATGTTTCTCATACTTAAAAAGATCTCCAATTCAATATTACTATTACGACAAGATTCATACCAAACTCTTACTGAATAAATAACATATGCACTGTTATTGAATAAAAAGAGTTGCATATCTAAATAAAAGGAATTGAAATATTGTTTTAAAGACAATTGAGTCTTAAGTATTGTTTTAAAGGCAGTACCACTTTATTAAATCATATGGTAGCTTATGCAAAATATTGCAATATATTAAAAAACCTAAGATTACAATTAGCTTTCCTTTAGGATGAAACTCCATACAATACACTGGTATTTATTTTAAGCTATTTTTTTCTGTCTTCTTGATCCTGAGATTTATATAATAACCTGGAGGAAAGCAAAACACAGAATTCACTTCAACCTGTGCAGACCAAACCAGTGGCTGAAGTCTGCATGGATAGTTGGGAGAGCTATGTGGAGTTAGTACAGTAACAGTGTGCTAAAATTTGCCACTCTTCTTCTAACTGGGACAAATTTTCAGACTATTCAAATTGCTATTACTCTGTTGGCACTAGTACAATAAAGTTCTGGTTTTAAACCCATGAGAATTTGCTCAAATAGTAGTGTTGTGTATGAAATGTCACACTGCTTTGTCAATATCTTCTGAGCATAATATTACTTGGTGTTAGGAGTGATCACAATGTAACTATTAGGAATTGCATCGTGGTTGGCCTTGGTGGTATCTTTAAAAAGCAGTTTTTTTCTGGCAACCCTCTTGTTTTCTTCACTATTGTCAGAAAGACTCAAACTGAACCAGAAGTGTGCCCATGTGGCCAAGAAGGCCAATAGTAACCTGGAGTGCATTAGGAAAAGCATTGCCAGGAGGCTGAGGGAGCTGATCCTTCCCCTCTACTCAGCCCTGGTGAGGCCTCACCCAGAGTGCTGTGTCCGGTTCTGGGCTCCCCTGCGCAATGTGCTCGAGGACAACCCTGCTTGAGCAGGGAGGTTGGATCAGATGATTCACTGCAGCGCCTTCCAAACTTACCCATTCTGTGATTCTGGGAAAAGCCTTTCTTCCCAAACCTGTGTATGTAGTTAAATCAAAGGAGATCACCTTTGCTGGAAAGGAAGATGGCAGTACGGTATAGAATCATAGAATCAGCTGGGTTGGAAGCGACCTCCAAGATCATCAAGTCCAACCCTTGATCCAACCCCACCGTGGTTACTAGACCATGGCACTAAGTGCCACATCCAGTCTTATCTTAAAAACCTCCACGGTAAATCCACCACTTCCCTGGGCAGCCCATTTCAATGCCTTATTACCCTCTCTGTAAAGAATTTCTTCCTAATATCTAACCTAAACCTCCCCTGGCACAGCTTAAGACCATGCCCTCTTGTCTTACTGATAGCTGTCTGGGAGAAGAGATTGATGCCCACCTGGCTACAACCTCCTTTCAGGGAGTTGTAGAGAGTGATGAGGTCTCCCCTGAGCCTCCTCTTCTCCAGGTTGAACAACCCCAGCTCCCTCAGCCTCTCCTCATAGGACTTGTGCTCAAGTCCCTTCACCAGCCTTGTTGCTCTTCTCTGGACCTCCTCCAGCACCTCAATGTCCCTCCTGAACTGAGGGGCCCAGAACTGGACACAGTACTCGAAGTGTGGCCTTGCCAGCACTGAGTACAGGGGAAGAATCACTTACCTGGATACACTGTTCCTGATCCAGGCCAGGATGCCATTGGCCTAATCCTTTTGTGAGAGAAGCTGAGATCTGCACTTCAGGAAACTTTCAGCCCTACAGGAGTGGAGGTCTAATGCAAGAGTCTGGCATACAGTGAAAGTCTTTCAGTCACTCATAGCCCACTCCTTGTCTGGAGACAAATCCAGAAGGAACTGTGTTGAATTTGCCCCTACGTTTCAGAATAGTCAGAGAGGAAGGAGGGATGAGCAAGGGCACACTCTGCCCAAATTAATGGTTGTCAAGTCTACTCGTCAAATGTAACTATGGAAAGTCTTCTAAAAGCAGGAAGCGAATTTGATACCAAAGGCTACATACAGGCAGCAGCTCTTAACTCAGAGCTTATATAAGTGCATATGTATATGACAGAAGCCTCTACTTAAACCAGCCTGGCAACAACTCTCCTTCTGAACTGTGGTATATCTCCAGAGATCCTTATTCAATTATTAATGCATCTGCTGCTAATTTCATCATGCAGAGTGTGAATTTGTCTTTCCACATCGAGCTCTAAGGGAAGTTTGTAAGAAATATAGAACTTGTCAGCACATGAGAGTCAACACATTACTGCTGTGCTGCAGCCATTTATAACGAAACTAAAATGAGCACTCACTTGTTTGGCATTAATTTAATGTCCCACTTAGCTCCTATCAGACGTAAATAGCTGCTTCATCCATTTAAGCATTTCTGTTCATGCACATAATGAAGTACTCTGTACCTGTCAAGTAAGCAGAATTCATAACTGAAATAAGAAATGGCTGAGGAAATTCAATGTTCTTAATATTAAGCCTCTACAGAGGTAGCATCAGACTTTTTTTCTGGCCTCTATAAGATTCACCTTTTATCCCACTCTTCAGAGACCATACGAAGACATGACATGTACACATGTTAGTATGCCAAAAATGTTTCTGAAAGGAATATCTGTTCAACTGATAGCACAATTAACAAAAGCTGTAGTTGTTGAACACATGCTATTAAAAAATAAATTAGCCAGCCAACCTCTTGGTATTTAAATGTTTTTTATGTTCTCTATTTTAGACAAATGGTTTATTTTAAACAGCATTCCAGTTGTGATCATCCTCTCGAGGAAATTTTTATGAGAATGAATGGAGGTAATGACTACTATTAGTCACTGTCATTAGCATAAAACATTAGAAAAGACAATATTTATAACAGTCATATTAAAATATGACTTTCTATCACTTGTGTATGCTTTGGCTACAGCTGGTTGTAATTTTCTAAAGTTAAACTGATAGAAGTTTGGTAATGGTATATTTAATAGCATGTTCATCATCAGATCTAATTGTTTTCAACCACAGGGTATGAAGCTTTATGTCCTCTATCAACCCAAAACAAACAGCCATACTGCTTAATGGCTCTTCAATTAATGTTTATGGTGCTACTTTTATAACCTAAGTTACATGAAAAAACCCCCAAACCCTCCAAGAAGCAATTTAAGAACTTCAGAAGCTTAATGGGACTTCAACCAATACCAAAAACTACTACAACATATGTAAGGTCCCACACTTGAGAATGTGAAACAGAAGACACTAAAAAGACATTAAAAAGACATTAGAAAATAGAAGACAGTAGAAAATTCTTCCAGCACAATGGTAAAACTGCCAGGGGAAGGGAGAACAGACCTTCTGTTCATGTAAGGAAAGATGGTTGAGGAACTTCAGGTTGGCCACCTTGCAATTGCTGTTCCTGCTGGATTAAAACAGAGAAGACCTGTTCATCTTAAGTCATGTAAAGGTCAGACTCTGTTGCTCAAATTGCAAAGTTATTCCCCTGAGAGTGATTTGCCCTCAGTAACCTAGATGCTTGCTACCTACTCATAATTCTTTTCCCTATTTAGCAAAGTTCATGCTGATTAAAAGGAAAGAACAGTACAAAGACAGGGTTCTCTGTAGCTGCCTTGGTGCATATTAATGTTTGTCTCTCCCTTTTGCATGAAACCTCTAGAAAGCAATGTAAAACTACTGTAAATATGTTTTTACTGGAGAGCTGTCATTGTTCTGCATTATGAAAGTAAATGATTTCTGGCTTGGGCTGTTAACTGTATGTAGCAGTAATATATTCATTTAAAGCCTCCCATCATAATTCAGACACCCTGATTTCTGGCTTTTAGTGATGCATTACAAGCCTTTACTTCTCTGACACTCAGGCAATTAATGACTGACATTCCTCAGTCCCGCAGAGTAGCTGGACAGAATTAGACAAGAAAGAATCAGACCTGAGGGGTGGTGAAAATTTCTCTTCTGAAAATGCACGTTTTTTCACACTATAAACTCTGACTGACATTCATTGCAGCAAATATATTTTAATAGAACTGCTGTTACTCTGCCTCTCTTCCCAGTCTCCCAGGAGTTTTTGTAGATCAACATGATGTTCAAAAACAGGTAAAAAAATGCTCTGCAAAGTTTAAAGGCTGTCAAGCCTTCTTGGCAAATTCCCTCCAAGAGCACAGCTGAGAAATGACAAACCTATCACCTGACTGGTTGGTGTTTAAAGCTGACTGCTTTTGATTAGGAAGCAATGAACCTTCCCTTCTGCAGTTTATTCCGTGTTTCATAAGCACCTCTTCACTGAAAATTATGCAGTTGAACTGATTTGAATTTGATTAGTGTAACCTACAGTTTTATTATTAATTATTTATTATTTGTTTTACTGCACATTTAGGAGAATGTCAGGATAGTTACAGACTTACTTTTATTTCATATGTATTATTGCTTGACATTTAAAACAAATCCAATAATAATATATGCCTGTATTGCAGTTACTCCCTTGTTGTACATTGCTCCATGTGTACTCACACTCTACTTCCTCTCTGCTCCAGTGAGAAGAATAGGATGAAAGCAATCCTGCTTACTCAAGGACAAAGTACTGTGTCCCCAGCAGGTGAGCTGAGCTAGAAGTTATTGTGAACTGCAACAGCTAACATCTTTAATGGAAAACTCCTGTATTAAATCCTATGCTACAGACTGTGATATTTCAACAGCCAGCGCTGAAGAGGAGCGCTGCCACCAGAGGTGCATGCATTAAACACTGAATTGCTTTTTCAGTGTCATCAGGCTTCATGAGTTGCAAATGTGAATGCTGTGGGAAGCTTAGTACACTTTCATCTTCTGACAGCCTTTCAATTATATGTCCTTTCACATTATTACATAACTTACAATGATCTGCACTGTGGACTTCAGTAATAAAAATTCATTTCATGTCTGAAGAACACAACTTCTTTGCTCAGTCAGTTTAGATGTAGAGGGGAGATGCATTTGACCAAAAACAAATGCTGAGCGGAGTCAGCTGGTTAGGTCAATAAAAGCTAAAAATACTTGACTTTGAGAGAAAAGAGAGTTCAGGACACAGCCTAAAGGCTAGATTCAGCCCTGACTAAACTGTAGCAGTGTTATAAGGAGACATTAGTTACTCAAACTTACATGTTACAGAACTTGCCAGTAAGGTCTCGGAATAACTGTCACCCTAATATCTTTATTACTAGTATGGTTCACAGTGTCTTATGTCTATTAGCTTCAGGCTGAGTATTCTCTTACATTTAATTCTCAAGATAGATCTTGAGAAAAAATGCATATACTTATATAATTTATCTCCTCATTTACTTACCTGATTTTGGAGATCCTCACTATAGTGTAACAGCACAGCAACATATCCCAGTCTTTAGGGATGCTTTTAGGAAACTAAAGGAGGCTCACTTCAGCTGCAATTCCAGATATTAGTAAAACATTAGTGTAATATATGCATCTTCAGTAGTTCTGTGGCTTTCATTCATACCAGCTGGCTGTCTAATATATTAATTTCCACAGTATAATGATATATCTTTATATATCTTTATCCATCTGCATAAGGATGCAAGACAAGAAGTACAAAAAATATGTTTTGGGTCAGGACATATAGATCTTGCATGCCAGTGATGACTCCTGATTTCTGAGAATCTGAAGTTAAGGCTAGTGAAACCTGAAGGGTGTCAGTGCTTCTGAAAACAAAAGTATGTCTTCAGTGCTCAAATACAGATGGAAGTGTCTGATCTACCTTTTGAAAATGCTGAAGGTTATCAACAGAAGTGCCTTCTCCTAAACAAACATTTTACTAAACAAACAATTCAACAACAAAACCAGTGGAGGAAAGAATTAGCAAAGGTTACAGAAGTACAGAAAACCCACTTCTAGGAAGCTCCATAGGAGATTTTCCATGAGGTGAATGCTGCACACGGGGAGCTCAAAGTGAAGCCTTGAATGGTATTGAATTGGGCTGTGCTTCTCTATGCCCTCTTTTCAACCTCTTGCTCCACAACAGAGCACTGGGCACAGAACAGGCTTATCTCAAACTCCAAAGACTAGCATATGTGTCAAGCCTTGTGTTCTTTCAGCTTTAACACAATTTAATTAATTATATGATGTGACATGATACACACAATCTGTAGCTTTTAATGAAAGTAGCTCCCCCAACTGTAATTTAAAACTTTTGTCCCTTAGAAGTTTAATTATTAAGGTTGCGATTAACTTCACCCAATCTCAGTTACCTAAAAGACAGCTACATAGTCTATACTAGGTATTTAGTCACATTTTATAAACAGTGGAGGGAGTTTCATCCCATTTGTTTTTTTTGACACATACCTGAAAAGGGGCTAAATTTTCCTTTGGACAATTTAGTATATGTGCATATATATACACACATATATACACACACACACATGCACGTATACACATATACAGCTGAAAAACAAGAAAATCAGAAAACGCAAGGAAGTCATGGAATTAGATGAACCTTGGTATTTTGCTATGAAGTACTGGCTTGCTCAGGATGTGGAAAAATCGAGATTTCCCTTTCTTCCTCTATATATTTTTGTTAAACTTCTAGAAACTGAGCAGGGTCTCCCAACTTCTGGAACAATTTATCACTTATTTAAACCTGTAGTTACCAACTGAAAAAGAATCACTACTCTCAAGTTTCCAAGAATACTAACAAGAACACAAGTCTTAATTGGAAGCCATCTTAGGAAACTTAGTCCAATTGTTAGGAGTTTGGGCTCTAAGTAAAGGTATTTTAGTTCTGATGAACAGCATTCTGTGTGATAGAGAGCAAACAGCTTCCCCCTTCTTGTTCCATTTGCCATGTGCAAAGCACAAATAATAATAAATAAAAACATTTCTAAGAGCCCTAGATTACTATTTACAAAGTGTTAACAGATTTAACTATAATCTAAGTAAACCCTTAAGAAACCTGCATATTCCCACCTGTTTCTTATCTCACTCACAGCCTACTTAAAACTGGAGTGTGAATACTGTCACCTAGGGTTTATTTCCAGCTCTAGCTAGGAGAAGGAATCTTGAAAAATATACTGATTTTTTTTTTCCTCAGTCTAGAATCATGTTAGGCTTGAATAGCTTTTGGCTGCATTCTTTTAGCTCTTTCTCTGCAGACAAAAATCTACATCTAAAGCAGGGCATAGTTTAAAATATCACCATTTGCAAGAGCAAATCCAAAAATAGTGTGGGCAAAAAAAGTGTCACCACTTTCAGAACACATGATGACAGGGAATCGGGTTCTACATGAGGGCTTCATGCTGCTCTGCAGTGCAGACTAAGCTTCAGGTCTGTTTTCTGGTATGCGGTCAGGAGGAGCAAGGAAAGGATTGTGGAGGTGCCTGAGGTATAGGAAGTGAAGGTGTGTACAGCTGCAGTGTAACTCCACATTAGCTATTGATATTACTTTTGTTAGTCAGCTGAAACCTTCTAGATGTCACTCTCTACCATGAACAAAGGCTGACAATGGTCTTTTGTTTCACAATCTGTTTGCTGAAGAAACAAGCTCATTTCTAATAACTAAATGCAATAATTGTATTTTTGTATGACATTATGTCTCTATATAAACTTATGTTAGAAAAATACAACGCAGTATTTAGTATGGAAGATTTAGGAAATGCTAGATTTATAATTTCCAATATAATTAGATGATTTTCTTTAGTATATACAAGAGGACATAGACTTTAATTACGGGATGCCTTCCTACCCTTCTCTCCACAAGACCTAACTCATGCTGGATACAAGACTGAATTAAATATTTGTATCTGTCTTGCACTCTAGTGATCTGACTCTTTTGTTTACTCTTTTTCATCCAAATAGTTGCTGGTGTAGATTTATTTAATGTCTTATAGATTTTCATTGTCCATAGTTTGTTGCAACAGTGTAAATGAACCCTATAAACATTAATAAATGTATGTTCACAGTAGTGCAGTAAAGATATCAATATTTTCATAGATGAACAAGTGGAGAACAGATCAAAAAACCCAGAATCTGCAAAATCTGGTTTTAACATGACCTTCTCAATGAGCTAACTCATAACAAGTGGAGACGATTTCTTCAAATATTTGGCTTTTTTAAAAATTATTTGTATGTGCAACATACTGCACAAATATAGTTTACTTATTATTATGTTACTTCTGTGAGAAAGATTATTAAAGATTATATTTCTCTATGACAGAAAAAGAGTGTAAGAACTTAGATGCATTATCCTGTCTCAAAGTCACATGCACCACAGTTACCTCTGTATGAGCTCTTTTCCAATGGCAAACGTAATGAGAACTAGTTTAAAATAATCCTGTTTTTTTGCAGACTGAGGTGATCTAATTACATCATATTTGACATAAACTAAAAATATATAGAAAAATACCACAGCTCACCTGATAGACTGGAAGATCACTTTAAGTCTGAGTGGTAGCCTGAGGTCCAGAACTCAGGGCTGTGGAGAGTCCCAACCTGAGGCTCAGTCCTTCATAACAGAGTGATTTATTGCAAATGATGTTGAGCACTCTCAGTTCCCTGAACACCATTCAAAAGGTACAGTACTTCCCTAAGGCTCCAAAAATCTGAAAATCAAGATAAAGTTGGGCAGACATATTCAATGAAAAACATAAAATTAGTTGTTGCATTAATATTTTAGCTTAAATTACTTATGTAGATTCACACAGCATCTCTGTGACACAGTGATAGTTTGGATGACAGAAAACTCTGGGAAGACATTGCCTTCCAAGTTCTGCATGCTATGAGATAAAGCAGATACAAAAAATAACAACACAATTTGCTACACAGTTCTAACACATTCCTATGCCCTGCAAGTAGAATGGGAAAGCATGTGATCACCTCTTTAGGGTCTCTGAAATGATGAGTGTACACAGCAGAGCAAAAACGAAGGAAAGGAGAAAACTAAACTAAAACTGGTATTTCTATTTTTTTTTTTTAACTTTTTGAACCTTTTTTTAAAGTTACTGTATGAAACTTTAGCTATAATTTTATCCCAGCTTTCTCATTTAAGTTCTTAATTTTCATACTGCTACAAATTCATCAAGTGCTGCCTCAATACCTTTTCTGCACCTGCAATCTATTTGAGATGAAGGCCCATGGTCCATGCACGGTAGTATGAGTATGCTTTGAACAGTGTAACAAAAAAGGAGGTTTGTGGCAGTGAATTGTGTGAATACCAACACTCTTTATGCAGATAATACAGCAGAATAATTATATTCATCCTGAGTAAATGAATTCTGAATGCTGGTATGGATAAGAATGGGAACTTGGGAGGACAAGTTGGGTTGGAGTTTCATTTCTTGTTAATATTAACAAAACTGGGTCCATGAAAGTAATTAAAATCAGTTCTTATTTAAATCAATGAATCAAGAGATAATTTGAAGATTAAGGCTGAGGAAGGAGGTATTTTTTTTAAACACATTAGTTAGTCTTTTCAGCCAGCCAATGGAGACTTGTGTACTTGTCTACATCCAGATACCTGGCTAAGGTACTCTGAATTATTTTCTGTAAGCAAAGATCACTCCACTGAATGCATAGGTACCCTAAGTACCCACAGTGGCAAAAGCTAGGTATTTGAAGTTAGATGATGAATGTGCTCAATACTTCCCCAACTGTCACACTAAGGTAACTTCGCATAGAAGAAAAAAACCTCATCAGTGGGGTAGGGGAACATACACATTTTTTTATTGCTTCTAGCAATTTTACTGAGTTGGTAAACAACTTTGTGGATGTCTCACGATATTCTCCAAAACAAACAGATTTTCAGGAAAGAATCAGAAAATAATTTTTAGGACTCTCAGGAGAATTCCTCATATCCTGAGCAAATTTCTGATACAGGAATTTTTAATTTGCAAATTATGTAAAGCTTTCCATAAACTTTTCCTTGATGGAAAATATTAGGTAGGTATAAACATAAGGCTTGCAAAATAAATGGTTAAAGTAAGCCAAGCACTGTGAAGTTAGTTAAATACCAGTTACAAGCCAGTGAAACCCTAATTCAGGTCTTTTCATGTATACATTTGATGCAGTCAGTGGTTGAGTTAAATTTTGGTTTTATTCTTTTTTTTGTTTCAACCATTGAGTCTACAATGGTTAAGTTATATTTTTTCCTGCTTAATTTCATGTATAAGAAAGGGCACTGAAAAACATTCAATATTTCTTTTATCTTCATTATTCAATGTGTTATTCATTTATTAATTGCTTAACTCTATTCAAATCTTTAATTTTTCTTGACAAAATTATGAATTTCGCAGTTGGTTTTCTGTGTCACTTGTGGCTATAGTATGTCAATACCTCATTAGTGTGACTAAATTTTTATTACATTTCTGAGTTAAAATAAAACATTCCCCACTGTTACATATCCTGGGAAACCCAATGCTTGCACCTAACCTTAAACAGCACTTTGAAGAGTCAGGAAAAACTCCTGTGATGCCACTTGTAACTCTGATGAAAATCAGATCCTATGATTTTTCTGTAAAACCTCAAGACAACAAGAAATACAGCATTAGCAGGCTTTTACTTTCAGCAATTTGCCTCACACAAAATTCTGCTGTAGATATGCTGAAGGATAATATAATCCATTCCTCTGCTTTAGTCAAACTCAGCTCTTTGGTCATTAAACACCCCCGACTTTTCTTGTAACGCAAATCACTGCAGAGACCCCAGCACCTGGGAATGTCAGCCAGTGGTTCTATGGATAAAAGCTCATTTGGGCACACAACTTTTATACATTACTATCACAGACATCTATTTGTACATTAGGCAAGACAGTGGAGTTAAAAAGGCACTGGGAAAACAAGTCTGAGATAGAACCAGTCTGGTGTTAATTTGCTAATACAGCAGAGCTTCTACTTGTTCTATGTATTGCTCCTGACCCCTCCACCATGCACCCCAAACATCCATTTCTGGATCCGATAGAAAAAAGATACTGGTCAGGATACTGGTCAGGTCTGACAAAGGAAGGGAGTTCTTATTCTCTTATGCATGAGAAACCATCCCTGGAGCGTATTGTGGCACATATTTTGCAATATACTTTCACAGACATTTGATAACAAAAAAGGAACTTTTATTATTTTGTAAATCCCCAAAATCTTTTATTTTTCTCAACTGTTTAGCATACAAAATCCTTGGATTGAGCAGATACTCATCATGGATAATTTAATTTGAAGTGGACACAGTTGCATTTACAGACTGTACTGGTTATCTCAATGGTAGCTAAAATTACCAGCCCTGCCAAGACTATATTTAAAGACAAATGAGAGAAATGGAGGCATGACAGATTAAAGTTGTATAGCTTGTTTTGGGGTTCTGTATTTTATCTATGAGAGCTGTGAATGAAAATGAGTCATCTCCATAAGTCCAGATGAAGAACTTGGTATAAAATATTTTCATATTAAAAAAAACTAACACAGTTTTCTAGATCCTTAAACATATTCTTAGGGTTATTTTTGGTTGACTAGGTATTACAAAGTCAGATGCCTTATTTCCGTTAATTTAGCCTAGCAGACTTCAAAGTAGTAAAACCCAAACAACTCTGAATCTAAAATTATCCCTAAACCAGTCTAAAATAGAACTTCTGTTATTTCCAGAACTGTCAGCACTATAAAATTTCAGAATATGTAAGTTTTTAGGGTCCAATCCCAATGTCTTCAGTGCTATAGGGAGGACATCAGGTATTACCAGGAGTCTCAAGCCCTTATGAGTATTTAGAGATGTATTTCTTCTTCATCAAAGACATACAGTGTGAGAAACTTACCACGGCAACAGTTGATGCAGCTATAGAAAAACAGAGTTATAATGCAAAGGGATGAAGATAATAACACTTCTTGAATGTTAATCTGGCATATGTACGTATGTATGTATATTCCCTACACACACACATTCTGCTGCTTCATCCAGTTGCCTGGTAAAGTCCAGCAGGTGCCAAGTGATAATAGTACATCTGCATGATAGACAAGGGAGTTCAATTCTCACAAAAAACCACAGCTCTGAATATGTCCTGTGTTTCATTTCCTGATGCAGCTTCTTACTAGCAAACCTGCTGCTTTGCTAATTGCACTTTATTATGTCACTTTGACCTGCTGAGTAATCTTAGCAAATAATTCAGCTTCATTATTTTTCTAATTCTCCATTATAAGGCAGAGATTAAAATATCGACTGCCTTCATTAAGCAGAGTTCTATGCAGAAATTTTCTTCTAAGCTCTGTAGGTGCTATTTAAGCTTTCTAAGAACTATGCAGTATTCTTGGGGTTACAATAACTCTTTTGAATGAGCACTAGATTTCCTAAAGCACGTACTCCACAGGCCTTCACAGTCTAGTGGATGACCTATTTTTGCCTTAGATCTGCAAGTTCAGTAACACTGTCATTAAAGACTATGTAAAGGAAAGTATTGTACCTCCTTCAGAAACTTAGTTGTTATGAAAATAAAATGATGACTACCATGGATGGATGAACTTGATTGCCAGGCTGAGATTTGGAGTGGGTGACACTCCCAAGACCCTCAACTAAATAATTTCCTTTCACATGGGGAAATTAGTTATGATGATAAAAAAAGTAGGATCCTAATGTTGGCACTATAACTGAAGTACTCTTCCTAGGTCAAGGTTATTTCACACTGTCAGCTAAGCAGGACATGGGCTAGAATGATGCAATACAGTCCTTTACAGGAATGTGTTCTGTTTGAATTTAATTAAATTATAAAAATGACTGCAGATCACATTCTGAATTTAATATTCCCTTTTCACTTCTTGATGTCAGCATGGATTTTTAGTAAATGAAACCTGAGTAAAATCTCCAGGATTAAATTCTCCTTTAGAAACCTGCTTTACTTAACTGGAATTCAACATAATGTAACATTCCTGTCAGTTGTTTGCATCTTTACATCATGAATTCAAAAAGAGATATTAAAAACATATAATTCTCAAAATACCATACAGAATAAGAAAAAGAACCCTATCAGTTTTAAATACTCAGAGAATAATAAACTGAATTCCTATATTATCAGAAAGTAGTAGCATTTCATTTGAATGACAGTGTCCTTGATTATCTTTTCAGCTAAAGTAGGTATGTGGGAAGAGGAAAAAGAAAGAGAAAAATTAAAAGAAAAAGAAAGAAGCAGCATATGCAAGGCCTTGTGTGTTGGGTTTGTCTGGCCAGGTTTTGGTAGCAGAAGGGGTTGACATGGTGGCTTCTGTGAGAAGCTGCTTGAAGCTTCTCCTGTGTCCTGCAGAGCCAATACCCGGTGGTTCCAGGATGGACCCACCGCTGGCCAAGGCTGAGCCCATCAGGAATGATAGTAATACCTCTGTGATAACGTATTTAAGAAGGGTGAAAAAAAAAAGTTATTGGGCAGATGAAAACTGCAGCTAGAGAAGAGTGGAGTGAGAACATATGAACAACAGTGCAAACACCAAGGCCAGTAGAGAAGGAGGGGGAGGAGGTGCTCCAGGTGTTGGAGCTGAGGTTTCCCTGCAGCCTGTGGTGTAGACCATGGTGAAGCAGGTTGTCCCCCTGCAGACGACAGGGGTGCAGGGATCCACCTGCAGTTCATGGAGGAGACCCACACCGGAGTAGGTGAATGCCCAAAGGAGGCTGTGACCCCATGGGAGGCCCATGCTGGAGTAGGGTCCTGGCAGGGGTCTACTGACCCATGGAGAGAAGAGCCCATAGTGGAGCAGGTTTGTAGGTAGGACTTGTGGCCCTGTGGGGGACCCACATTGGAACAGTCTGTGCCTGAAGGACTGCACCCTGTGGAAAAGTGACCCACATTGCAGCAGTTTGTGAAGAACTGCTGCCTGTGGGTTGGACTCATGCTGGAGAAGGACTCTCCGGTGGGAGGGAGACCATGGTGGAGTGGAGAAAGGACTCCCCTCCCCAAGCAGCAGCAGAAAGGCAGAAACAACTTGTGATGAACTGACCATAACTCCCAGTTCTTGTCTCCCTGTGCTGCTGTGGGCAGAGTAGGTAGAACTTGGGAAGGAGAGAGGGGTGGGGAGCAGGTGTTTTTAAGATGTATTTTACTTCTCATTTTCCTTCTCTGATTCTGTCAGTAATAAATTTAATTAATATCCCCACTTCAAGTCTGTTTTGCCTGTGACAGTGATCGGTGAGTGATCTCTCCTGGTTCTTATCTCAACTCATGAATCCTTCGTTGTATTTTCTCTCCTCTGCCCAGTTGCAGAGGGGATGATAGGGTGACTTTGCTGGGTACCTGGCGGCCAGCCAGGGTCAACCCACTACACCGTTTCACTGAATTTTGCCACTGGTTTTACAGGATTGTTCTAAAGTTCAAGAAGAAATATAATGAATTATTAGCTGAGCAATTAATATGGAGTTATAAATGAAAATAGTAAACCATGATACAAAATATGTGCACTTTTTTTCTGTTTTCCATGCAGAAGTAAATGAAGAAAACCCACACAGAATGCTAAGTCATACATGAGCAGCTCAGCAGTTTGTACCTCTGACTTGGTGGTAACACAGTGTGAAGGTCCTGTAATGCAAGGGCATGTAACAAAGGTATTCACTGTTTTTCTGTGAGGAAGCCATCCATCATGAGCTAATGCATCCTGCATGGCAAGAACAGTGCCAAACATGATATAAGCAGGTACTCTCACACTATATAATAACACTGTATAACAAGAAACTATACCTCCATTAAATCAATAAAGCACAGCAGCAACAGAAATAAACAGGAAATATTGTTTTCATAATTAATTCTTTTCTTATTAGGGCATTGAAGCATTTCTATTATTCTACTTGTACACCCAAATGTTGCTAAAAGATATTAGAAAGTTCTGATTGTTTCCATACAGCAACTTGAAAAATTCTTTGGGCACATGATGGATTTACACAATCAACTACACATCTTTTTCTTTAATATTTTTCCTTTTAATATGTGAATGATGACCTATACCATTACACCATGGGTATGATCTCCCTCCAATAAACCTTCCTTCTGATTTACAGATTTAAAATATGAAAGTCTGCAACTGTGTTCTCAATAAATTTTGCTATTCTCTGCTAAAGCATCTGAGGTTTCAAAGTTAATTCAACTATTTTAGGCAAGGAGGCATTTATGCCTTTCAGTAAGTACCAAACACAACCTTTTAATAAGATTTCTATAAGGAAAACAAACTTTTAGAACACGTTTTTAGTAGAAGTTTAGAAATCTGCATTTCTTATGCTTATGTTGACAGAAATTGCTTCTCTTTGAGAATGAAAACTGTGTTCCAGATATCCATGATTTAGAGATTTATTTCAACATGTTCTGCTGAGTTATAATACAAATTATTTAGTCAACCAGAGGTTGCAAAAGGACAGAAAATCTTTCCTGTACTCATACTGGCAGGCACAGTTAGTGTTCAGATTCCATAGTCTCAGAACATAAATATTGTATACAGTATGTCTTCACTAAAAGATATCAGCATATTCATGAGCAAAGCTCATGATTTGTCTAATAAGTACGTAGGTCAGCAAATATTTCAGTGGGAATAATTTTCCTTAAAGTCTCTAAATGGATGTTAGCATCTAGCCTACAGGACCAGAAACAAAACCAACTGAAGAAAAACCAAAGGCTTAATGATTTCAAAGGTTTTTGTCAGGTCTCAATGATAAATAGTAATGACTAGAAAAATTTAATTAGCTAACAACAGAATGGAAGATGGTGATCATCTTTAAAGCCATAATTGGTTTGAGAGTTACCTATGTACCTGTTCTGCCTCCACAGATCAGTACAGTAAAACTGATAACACATGATACTTTTTCTGATAACTCTTGAGTTTTAATAACTGACAGAAGTCACAGAGTGCATCGAAGTTTTTTGGAGGACAAAAAAACCTTCAGAAGACATTAGGATTGTTTTCCTTGTTTTCAGTTTTTCCTGTGATTTTACATGTTAATTAGGGTTCTTTTTGTACTTTGATCTATCTGTTGACAACAGAGGATGACTTGAAATAATAACAAATACGATCTTTATTTTTTGGGCATTAGTTACAGCCAGCCCTTTCAACTATGGCCTTTCTTTTCGTGCAAAAACTTTGTAATGTCTTAGTGAAATGAATTTTTTTTTTAATCCTACCTTAGAAAAAATGCACTACAAATAGACTCTGTCCTCCTGAATCCTAAAAATTCATACATTCTGATATAGGGATAAGTTGGTTCTTTGTCACATAAGATTAATTTATAAACTATGATTCTGACTCTATGAAATTTTTTCCCAAAACTACTTTATCTTCTTGCAATCTTAAAACCATTTATTGAAGTTCTACAGCATTATAAAAGAATTCAGGTAACACTTACGGAAAAAAATTACTATTTTCTTTAACATCTTTGCTAAAATGTTGTACTAAATAGATCATGTAAAGATATTATAATCTTGTTTAGATTTGGTATTTCTTTCACAAAAGAAATTACAGGAAATTACAGGAGAACAATTTTCTGTCAAAATATGTAGCTGCTTAGGAAATTCAGGTAGATTTTCTCAGTTGTCTTTTCCTTTTACACAGTATTTTTCCATAAAAGACAGGAAGTGTACCAGTAACTTTACAGAACATGAGGCATCTCTAAGAAGGTTGCATGAAGAACACTGATATCCAGTGCTGTCCCTACTCAACCTTTATACAATCTTGACTTAACATTTTCTGCATTTTAATGCAATACAATATGGAAAATGTTCTAGGATTTCCTTTCCTTAAGATCATATACTTCTTTCAGACATTAACAAAGACTTCTTCTTTCCAGTGTTTAGCTTATTCTATGACTCTCCTTTACTTCCATTTATAATTCTGTAGTTGTGATATTTGTTGCAAAACTTTGGACTTCTGAGAAAGATGATTCACAAAACAACACTCCTACTGTCAAACATGAAGGAAATACATCACTAATGTAGACCAAATTTTTTTTATTTGAACAGAATGCATCACTTACGTGTTCTTGATTTTAACTTTAAGATGATAATCCTGGGTGATATTTCATGAGAACATTGCTGGCAAAATCCTTGCAAGAATACTTTTGAACAGACTAGTATCCGCTATAGCAGAAGAACTTCTACCTGAAAGTCAATGTGGTTTCAGAGCCAACAGGAGCACCACAGACATGGTATTTGTTCTCAGACAACTGCAAGAGAAATGTATGGAACAGAACAAAGGTCTCTATGTAACCTTTGTTGATCTCATCAAGGCTTTTGACACTGTGAGCAGAAAAGGTCTATGGCAGATTTTGGAACATTTAGGATGTCCTCTCAAGTTCCTTAAAATGATCATCTCACTTCATGAGGATCAGCACAGCCAAGTCAGATATGGTGATGCACTTTCTGAGCCTTTTCTAATAACCAGTGGTGTGAAACAAGGCTGCGTTCTTGCACCAACCCTATTCACAGTCTTTTTCAGCATGATGCTCCAAAGGGCCACGGCAGACCTTGATGATCAGGACGGTATCTATATTCAATATCGTACTGATGGAAGCCTTTTCAACCAAAGGTGACTGAAGGCCCACACTGAGACCTTAAATCATCTTCTCCATGAGCTGCTTTATGCTGATGCCGCCACCCTCATCGCCCACACAGAAGCAGCTCTGCAGCGTTTAACATCCTGCTTCGCAGAGGCTGCTGTGCTTTTTGGGCTGGAAGTCAGTTTGAAGAAGACAGAAGTTCTCTATCAACCTGCACCTCAGGAAGTCTTCCATCATCCCCCTATCACCATTGGCCAATCAGAGCTCAAATCAGTCCTAGGTAGCCTCATCTCTTCGGATGGTAAGATTGACGGAGAGACAGACAACAGGTTAGCAAAGGCATATAGAGCTCCTGAAAAACTCCATAAAAGAGTTTGGTGAAATAAACACCTGAAGAAAAGTACAAAGATCAACGTTTACAGAGCCATTGTGCTGTCTACTCTTTTATATGGATCTGAATCATGGGTCATTTACCACCACCACCTGCGACTTCTAGAATGCTTCCATCAACGCTGCTTCTGTACAATCCTAAACATCCACTGGTCAGATTATGTGACTAATATGTCTGTTCTAGAAAAAGCAGCTGTTATGAGTATTGAGGCCATATTGCTGAGAACACAGCTGCGTTGGGCAGGGTACATCTCCAGGATGAAGGACCACTGCCTCCCTGAGATCGTGCTCCATGGTGAACTTGCCACTGGCTGCTGCAAGAGAGGAGCCCCAAAGAGGAGATACAAGGACTTCCTGAAACAACATCTCAGCCTTGGCCATACTGATCTTTATCACTGGTCTACTCTGGCCTCCGACTGGGAGGTCTGGAGACACACTGTCTATAATGCTGCTGCTTCTTTTGAGAACACACGCAGGACCACTCTTGAGGAGAAACGAAATGCAGAAAGAACCGTGTCTTGTTGTTATCACCTAAGGAGTCTTTCCGCTGTGCCTTTTGCAACCAGACTCATCTATCTCGCATTGGCCTTTTTAGCCACCAGGGTGCTTGTAACAAATGTGTGTAGAGTCCTTCCCAAATCTTCATTTGCCAAGCCTAGCCATGACTATAAATCCATATTATTATGGTCAAATGTTAAGCCTTTCAACTGATGATTCTAACAGTAACTTGGTCGCTTTACTAAATTCCTGATACTCAGCTCAGAAACGGAGTACTGGCTGTAGTTTGGCTCTCTGGCAATAGGGAGACACAGGCTCTTCCACCCTGCCATGCTTAGTCACAAGGTGTTCACATCCATTTCTTCAGAGCTACCACACAGTGACCTGTTTCACATGCACTCGTTCACTTTCATTAACATCAGTGTTATGCAGTTTAGAAGTCAGTAGGTTTGGGTATAATGGAGTAATTATGGCTGGGCTACAGACTGAACATGGAGTAAGAAGACAGATCTTCTGTGTTTGTGGCTGTAGCTCTGTTACTCTGAATAGAGGTTGAGGACCTCACACAGTTAGAAAACCGTGGTCAGCATCCTTTGTGGTGAGGTCAGGTATACTGTATTTCCTAAGATTTTCATTTATTCATATGAAGATTTAAGCCCTTTGTTAAAACAGAGTAAGATAAGTTGAATAGGAAAGAAATAATTACATGGTGCTACTTCATTTTCTAATAGAGGTTGCTTCTTTAGGAATATCTAATTTTTCCAGTTAAAATGGCTCTTGAATACACGCAAAACATCTCCTAGACTAAAATATAATTTGTTGATTTAAGTATTAAAAAATATATTGCACTCTTTTCTTTTAAAGATCAAACTGTTCTATAGATGAGGTCAACCTGGACAAGCAAAGAAAAAAAACTTAGAATATTTTAACAAGATTTTGCTTTTTCAACCTCTCTTTTCCAGTGTTTTTAACTCATTGTTTTGATGTTTTATACTGTTTTTAGTTCCTATTACAAATAACTGGTGACTAGTGTCCTGGAATGATCTGCAGCATAAGTGATGTGTTTTCTGATGATGCACATAAATTTTCAGGACCTCAAAATTATGGCTGACCTGACTGGTGGATGTGTGGAATATGTCACAACGTTCCACGGAAGATGTGAATATAGCTGTTAATTAGAATAAGCAGACTCTCTTGTTACTCTTTCAAAAATTAAGAAGGTAGATTTTTGTTTTCCTAAGACATAGCTGATTAACTGTAAGACTTCAGAAACAGTTGTGAACTATACTTTGTAGTTGGCACAGAACAACACATGCAGTCATGGGTAATTTTTCATACTATTTTCCTGAAAATCAGTAGAAAAACTGTTTGCAAAAACAGTTGCTTACACTGTTAATTGTTAACCTACTTTTTCTAAATAATTCTTATATCAGAATATTTCACAATGCATAATTTTACTGATACATTCTGCCATTTTTTTTAATCTACACAAATAATGGTTTTAAAGTGGACTTGGAGACAGGAATATTAAAGGACACTGTTCTGCTAAAAAGCTATAATTATTGGAGTCTATCCTCAAGGAGTTCACAGTAGTTACCCTCATATAAAAATGTGATACGCAAGTGAGAAATTAGTTTTATGTATTTTGCCCTGGATCTCACATCAGGTATGACCTAGTCACAGCTTTATGTAATTTATCATTTCAATAAGGCACATGAGCATTTCCTGGAATACTTATATAGTAAAATCTATAATGTATAGTAATTTATAATCACAGCTAAATCAGTATGATGAAAATGTATTTATAGGAGTGGAAAGTATTTTTCTTGTTTGTATAGATATACCCTGAATGAAGCAAATTTGCATAACTACATGCAAGGTGGGTAGATGGAAGCTTTTTCCTACAGTAGTACATTCAGACTGATGTGCCTGCAATATGCAGACAAACCTTAATTCCATGTTATATCACTTTGGCCTGTAGAGTGGTTGCAGCACATAAATAAAACTAATTTATAAAGACCTCGAGGCAACCCTTTGGAGAGGAAAATTAAATCTTTTATATCTTGCTATACAACACAACTTGTGGTTTGTAAGTAACCGTTGAATACCACAATAGCTGGAAAATGTTAAATCAGCCACACCACAGTCATGGGAAAAGATGCCAGAGTAATAAATGTGTCTAAGATTGTGTATTTGGTGCACAACGTCATCAGTTTTATTAACTCTTATCTAGTTTAACAATCATGAAAGAGGACGAGAATTTGTAGGTTTTGTATTGTGATTAGGTTTACGCTTCTGAATCTGTGGACAAAGTTATAACTGAGCTGAATTTTTTTGTTTGTTTCCAGCCAAAATTTGTCTTCAGCCAAAATCTCATATATAATCTGAAGTCTACTTAAAAAAGTCATCCAAGACAAATCTTTATGTTTAAATGTATTTAAACAGAGAAATATTAGAAAGTGATGCCTTGATCCATGCCATTGCCTAGTAATATCATTAATGTCCTTGCCATTCTAAAGCATAAAAAAGGAAAAACACACCAAGCATAAGAATAAATAACAAACTTCCTGTCTCTATACAGGTACATTTGTCATAGAAAGAAATGATACATATTTTCAGAAGCAAGGATAAGCTAGTGTTTTATTTTTTTATGTTATGTGACTAGCTTGTTTTCAAAATGTAGGCATACTTTTAATAAACAGCAGCTCATGTTTTTAGCAGGAGCAGTTATAAAAATATACCATCTTAATATTTACTATTAAAAAGCTAGATGACAATACTTTTATTTAAGTGAGAGGTATCATAACATATAAAAGTAAATGTTTTGATTGCCATTACACCATAATCATTATGCTGCTATGCAGAGAAACATTGCTGGAAAGAAATATTTATTTTAAAAATGTTGGTGAATATGTTGTTAGTAAAAACAAATGCACAGATAAAATAGGAAATAGGAAAACCCCCTGAGATGCAGCAGCGCTTACCTGACCCCTTCTCAGCAGATCTGCTGCTTAGCTGTCCAGTGCCTGAGTCCCTGAAACAGCGAGACAGAATAAACTCAGTGTAACCATCATGTAGCCCACTAAATTCACTTAAACACTTCAAACAACAAAACATACTCATCATAAACTATTCAAAAAGAGCTAGCATGCAACTCCAGCTGCAAGAGATTTTGTTCACAAACTGAACAGCAATTGGCCTGTACTTTAGTCTCATCAAAAAAGTAAACCAATCACATTGACAAAAAGCCACTGTAAACAAAAAGAGTGTATTTAAAGGATTAACAGTTTTGGCATCCCTACCATCAAGTCTTCTGTTCTTTTTTTTTTTCTTCATCAAAATTTAGGTTATATATTTGTTGTTAGCAAGAGTTGCATTACTATTATTGTTAATTTTAGTTCTGTTTATTACGTTGAGGGTTATATATTGTAGAATAATTTTGTTGTCACTAGTTAATGTTAATTAGTTGTTTTAATAGCCTATATACCTATTTGTTATCTTTTGGTAGGTTTACTTTTTTAACTATCAGTAACTTAATAACTGAGAATATTTTACATTACTGTTGCATACTCAAAATTACAGAGTTACTATTAGTGTTACCTGTTTAACGTTTAGTCATCCTTTGAGTCCTGCGACATATTTCCTTAATAATCATCAGCCATCAAGTCTGATAGTCTCAAAAGAATATCAGCCCTCTAAACTGCCTTCAAGGGCGGTGATATTTAGCACTGAAAATTACAAATAAAGTTTTTGAAGTTGAGTACCAACAACTGGGCAGTGACACTGATGATTTGTTTATCAAGACAAATTGTTATATACTACGAAAAATGCAGTCAACGCACTCTTCTGAGTGAAAACAAATAGGTGAATCTATGCAATGCTTACATGTTGAATGGGATATTTAATGTGCGGGGAAACTCAAAGGTTGAAGAACTAGCATTTAGACAGTCTAACAGTGGTAAGTGGTAATCTTACCTCTTTAAACTCCATTACATTCTCACGAGAGACATGCTAATACAAACAAGTCAATCAGAGTTTGTGTTTAGCAAGATCAAGCTTAAAGGATAGTTTAAAATCCATTTATTGTTCTAAAGCATTTTTTTCCATTAACATGTTATACATTAGTGGATACTAACCATGATTCATGTAACAGTTTAGTTTGTTAACTTTTAAATTATTTAACAACCAGAAGTTATTAATACAACTTTTAAAGTCTTACACAAAAAATCTTAAAACAGGCTTGGGTTCATTTTTGTAATTTTTATATAAAAAACATTTTAGGCATCTCTTGAAAAAGAAATAAAGCAGGCATTTAAAGCTAGAAAACAAGTAATTCCAAATTTAGTTTGTTACAAAAGGTTTCAGCTTTATTGACAAATTATGGCAAACATATTTGACAAAATTATGGTTTCCTATTTAGAGAAGCTTACACATGGAACTTTAAGTGATTTTTTTAACAAATACAGGTTAAAACACTGAACAACTTCAGTTAGCTACATACATACAGTAGCTGCTTGTTTTCAACCCCATTAAAACAGCATTTAAAATTAAATTTACAAACTGAATATCGAACATCTTAATCTAAACTAACATATATTAAAAAAGACAGGTTAAACATCTTATCTACAGCTTGATTATTGTCTGGTTCAAAAAAAAAAAAGGAAAAGGAAAAAAAGGAATCATATTACAATCTTTTAGCAACCCTAAACAGAAACTCAGCCTTAGCTAGTATGTAGAGACTCGAGATTTGTAACAGTGTCATGCTTTTTAAGTTACACACAGCAATGAATACAACCAATAGAACATCATCTTTGAATAGTTTATAGACAATGTTTGCCAAAGGTTTTTTGTCTCTGTTTTTTTAAGTCCGTGTTATAAAATAATACTAATGCCAATGTCACGCCAATGTTATAGGAAATACAAGTAGTACATAGGATAATAATGAGCAGTAATCCCTAGGATAGAAAAGAAATGGACTATTACTTGTCTTGTTGCTGTTTATGTGGAGACCACAGGTTATTAATTGTCTTTGAGATGAGGTCACAGATGAGGAGGACCTTCAATATCTACCATAGGGGTGTTCCCTGTAACCCCCTCTGGCTGACCTTGGAGGTGGTGCCTTTAGGCTGGAACGGGTTGTGGCCCATTCTTCTTGTGCTAAAAACAGAAAAGAAAAACAAATTTTGTAAATATCTAAAACTGAAAGAACAAGGGGATGCCACTGCTAATGGCTGTCAAAATTCTTGAATGTTTTGTCTGAAACCTTTAGAAAATTAAAATGAGGATGGTGTTATCATCCATTGCTTTACCCTCCTACAAAAACTTACAGAAAACTAACCTACTTCTCTACACAGGCAATCAGTATATCTCAGGAAGAAAAAAGTCTTACACCTTCACTTTCAGCAGAGAATGAAAAACTACTGTGGTGATGGTACAGTCAGCTCTGGAAAAATTACTGTGTAAGTCTGCCAGTTCAGAATTTATTTGATGTTTTGAGTTTCTAGCATTTAAGTTAAAGCACAAATAATGTAATTGCTATGGTAACAAGATGAGAAGTTGAATCATGAAAGGATAAGAGAGGTATGTTTGATTTTTTACTTCCATTTGAGATGAAAAGAAAGAAAATAATGGAAGAAAAACAATGTGTAGCAGTGAATCTACTGCATTAAGCAAAAAGAGATTTTACTTTGCATTATCTTTAGAATACGTTTTCAAATTCTGTGAATGAAATATGCTCAGAAAGATAAAGATAAAAACTCTAGTTCAGTTTTTACAAAGTTTCTATAAATCTTCTCCTCCTCCCTGACAAGGTATTTTGGAAGCTAACCCTGAGCAATCAGGAAATTACCTTCAGTTGTGGTCTAGCAGTTGAACCCAAAACTTGAATTCTCTCCTAGATCAGCTAGTGGATTGTGAAATGATTTCTGGTTTTGCCTTCCACTGACTTCAACTGATCATACAGAGTGATTAAAATGGAAATGCAGAAACCATAATGTATCATCGATCTTATAACACATCACTGTGCAACATTCATGGTATCTTGTTTTTGCTAATGACTGCTGATTTATGTGGCCACTAAGAAAATAATTAGCTGGCACTAGACAAAAATACTAAATGGTTAAAAGAGGTATCAAATATTCCTTTTGTAAAATGATAATGTTATGTGAAAACAGAAAAATGAAAATATAAAACATAAAAAGCCTGTTAAAATTCTGAAAGCTATTTCTTCTCTGCAAGATGTCTTCTTTGCAACTACATTTCGTTATCTTGTTGCCTTGCGGTTTGAGGGGAAAGCACAGGGTACGAGGGAAAAGCACCTACAGAGCTTACAGTGAGGCTCAGGTTGCATGTACTAGGAGTGGACGTCTCTGGAGAAGATTTGGTAGCAGCTGATCTTGCTATGGAGCAAGAAACATTCCTGTTGTGATTTTTTGGTGCACTCCATTTATTTTCTTTTTCTTTGAGCTCTTCACGACGTTCTCTTGTTGAATATCAGGGGTTTTATGGTCACACAAACCCAAAGTTTACCATGGAAAGCTATTGCCTACAAGGTTGAAGAAAAGGCAGCCAATATGATATAGTTCTAAATCCTCAGGTTTCTCATTCCTAGAGGGAATCAGTTTCCATATAGTGAATTTAAAAATCCTCCCTCTGCAATATGTTTCATTACACCCTTTAAAAATGGTATTTTGCTGTAAATTTGCTGCAGCTTCAATTACCCTTTGCTGAAGTGTCACTGCATTTGCAGAGAGGCCTCGGGGAGAAGTGAGATTTATATGGAAAAGGAGAAGCTTTATTTATATAAATGAAAACGACTGAAGTAGTAAAGATACTCACTAAATGTACAACACAAAGACAAACCCATTTCTTGCTCCCTTTCAGTCCCCTCACAGTCATCTGGACAGAAACACCTTCGTATAAAGGTGAAATGTGCAGTATTTTTGTAGTACTCATGCAGTGAAAAATGACTTTATATTACCAACTGGAGGAAGTTGTTTTTTCCTTGACTGTTCTTAAAGCAAATTGCTGCTCTTGACAGAGTACAAAACTAGAATTGTAATTTGTGGTACAAGTCTCTTTTTCAGTAACATGGTGGACCTATTTGCTTGATTTCAAACTTTAACACCATTATCGACACCATGGTTGACAGCTAACAGCTCCTGTTGATATTGCATGATAGACCCTAGTGTACTAACAGGTGAATCCATAGCCAAAATACAGATGAAACTTTGGGGATTACGGCATTCAAGTGGGAAAACACTGGCATCTACCACTCATACAGCAGTAAAGGATTATATATTTATTGTGGAGAAAGGAACATGATAGGGAGCAGCACTACCAAGAGTCTCTGAATCACACTATGCCAATAAATAACAAGATGGAGCCATACCAGAAAAGAAGTCAGATTACTAGTGGGTTTTTTCCTGTGGGGATTTTTAATGAACAACAATATATCTGCATGCTAGTAATTAAAGGTTCCTTGATGTGCAAAGCTGGTCTTTCATGTCTCTATTTCAGAAGTCCAATGTAAGCTTTCTTCTTTCAGCATCGAGGGAAGAAACGGGGCTTCTGAGAATGGAAATCTCTTGTCTTCAGGAACAGTCTTAGAAGACTGGAGTGATATAGACTACCTCAGTAGCTTGTTGGATAGCAGAATGGTGGAAAGACTGATTACCAAGCTCAGTTTCACAGTGTTTGAGAACAGGAGAACAGTGGAGCCTGTCTCTGAAAGACTGTACCAAAAAGGGACAGAAAGAGAGCCTGGATGTATTTAATCTTAGTAAAGTCACATGTTAATGAAGTGGAAACTGAGAGGGATTTCAGGTGAAGAGCAGGTAATAGGTGTAGCTTTGGAGATGGAAAGGTAATTGGGAGAACTGCAAGTGAGAGACTGACCAAGAGCTGAAGAAATGTGCAGGGCAGTCACTGCGTTTTAATGCTGATTCTTTTTCCTTCTTCTGATTCCTGTCGAAAGAAACTCTGTGCAGTCTGACCTTTCTCTTCCCTCTATGACGTCCAGACCCCCATCCAGTCCTTATGCCATAGCAGGCTCCACTCATGCCCTGTCCTTTTCACTTCTGACTGTCCTCAGTGCTATCAGGTGTCAAAGACTGTGACTGAAAAGAAATCCACACAGGTAGCTTAATAACTGAGGGCAGAGGGTTGGGCTTTTTCAGGAACTTGGTGCTATTTCCAACTTTGACATTCTAAGTTAAGGAGAAATACTGTATGTTTTGCTTTCAGAAACTAAAACTATAAGTTATAGCAGCATGAAGGAAACCTAATAGCGTTTATATGTGAGGAATCTGAGTGTGCTTGGGCATGAGGTTTCCTGTAGGTGTGGTAACAACTGCTGTAGCTTCTTTGATAAGAAATTAAAGAGATGGGCAAAACCCTTTTAATTACACTGCATACTTTCAGTTTGCTGTATGCTCCCTGTCAATTGGTATTTGAAGCTCACCTTTAGGATATAAAATTAATTATTATCACAGTCAATCAGCACCCTTGGTTTATGAATGATTGAAATGATATGTTAGTATTTTTGCACTGCTTTTTATGGTTCAGATTGACTTTTATTTATTATACTATGTTCATTGAGTTATATAAATGCTTTCAGTATCTATTACAGACTATTGATATATTAGTTGAGGCTATCTTTGAAGATTATTGTTTGATCATTGCTAGGAGACTCATTAGCTTTGATCTAATGTTTAAATACAAAATTATAGTTAGATTTTTTTTCTTACTGGAGAGTCAGAATGAAAAAAGATCATACCATTTTTAACCTGAGAATTTCCTCTGAATGTGAGATCTAAATGGTAACATCTATAGCACAGAGAGAGGTACATATGAAGTTGTTTCTGTCTTACTGTTTTACCTACGTATTATTGAAAGCACAGAAAAATTCAGTGGCTCATCCATGTGGCTATCATCACATGCTTAAATGACTTCAAGTACAAGATTCAAGAAAAGCACATTCAGACACTTTTTTTTCACTCTTCAATCTGCATTCTGCAACTTTGTCATGGAATTTTCCGGCATTGAATAAAACTCTTTGACAAATGTAAAAAGGGAAACAATGCAATAATTAAAAGGCAGATCACATTAATGGATGCTTTAAAATAAAAAAAAATACATATTAACAGCATGTGATTTACATATGAACGTGTTATTTTCTAATATTTTTGTATTTATATTCATTGCTTAGTCACTGTAATAATGAAGACCTGATCACTTTTTCTTCCTAATAAGTTATTTAACATCTGAGTATTGCTCACAATTATTTGGCACGATTTTATTAATCTCTGGTCAATTATTTTGGACAGGTGGCCAGGAAGAGATTAAAAAGAGCTATTCTGTTCAGATAGTTATGATGTATAATACAGCTAGTAATGCAATGGTTTAATTTAATTTTTAACTTAGTTTTCAGTGTTTTAGAAACAGAAGTTGCTTTTAATTCAGAATAAAATATTTTTATTTCCTATAAGCAAAAATCTCCACCATTTTTGCAAGGTCATTTATACCGCATGCATGTGCAGAGAGCATGCTGCACTTGGGATAGAGCTCAAGTGGAATTCAGGAATTGTGATTACTAGCTCTACTCCTTGTTTGCTCAGTGACCTTGGATAACTGTTCAATATTTTGTGGTATGGCTTCCTCACTGGTAGAATGAGACAAGAATACCTATCTCCCTGGGGTGTTCTGAGATGTAGTTAATTGCCTGAGCAGTAAGAGAAAAGTGATATAGATGTGCTGAACAGAAGACCCAATAGAAACCAGACATATTGCTTTAAAGTGAGAACACTGAAAATTAGAATGCTTTTCTTTGGATAATTCAATTTGTGCTGTATTTCGAGTAAGCCTCCAAACTTCTCCCTCCATGAAAAGATGGATGGAGACAAAGTACTAAGCAGTGGATGGAAAATTTGCCCTACACAAGCTAATGACTGAAGCTCAACTAACATTGGCAAAGCAAATGTTTCACCCCATAAATCCATATGGAAAAGACAGCAGCAGTTTTCTTGTGTCATAATTGGACAAGTATATATTATTTTAGACAAAAATTCAAGAAAAAGTTTTTGTCTTTTTTCTTTTTTTTTAAGGAGAGCATCCACTTATTTTTTTCACTCTTCCAGTCTCTTCTTGCTTGTCTGCAA